GCGAGAGGCACGGGCGTGCCTCTTTCGAAAAGGAAAAAAAGGCGTTTTCTGTTTTTTTTCCTTTCGTGAGAGGTACGGTTTTGCTTCCGACAGAGGCACGATTGTGCTTTCGCGAGAGGCACGGGCGTGCCTCTTTCAGAACAGGAAAAAAACGCGTTTTTTGTTTTTTTTTTCTTTCGTGAGAGGCAGGGTTTTGTTTCCGCGAGAGGCACGGTTGTGATTTCGTCAGAGGCACGGGCGTGCCTCTTTCGGAAAGGAAAAAAAACCCGTATGTCCCGGTTCGGTTTTTTCGTCCGTTTTTTCGTGAAAAAAAAGTTCGTCAAAAACTATCAACATGGGATCTAGTTTTAAAGATCTCGACGCGAGGAATCCAATGGCGAAAGTGGTTCGAGATTTGTACGCACGGTTTAAGAGATAAAACATTTTGAATAAACGGATCTACGAAAAAAAGGGAAAACTCCCAGGTTGCGACAAGTGGCGCACATGCAGCGCGCCACTTGTCGCAACCTGAGGAAGTTGGAGTGATCTCCGCAAGGAGTACTCCTTAATTAGTGATTTCGTTTTTTAGGCAAATCAAAATATGTGTTGGCACCCAGTTATATAATTAATCAATCTCAATTCTCAGACCCAGCATTTGGAAGGCCCAATGGGCAAATGGGCCAGGATCACGGGAGACTGACACTGGCCCCCAAAAAGCCCCTCCTTCCTCCCCCTTTGTTCCGGCAGCCGTCCGTCCGCCCGTCGCCGTCGCCGACGTGGTCTCCGATGGCGGCGGGGGACGCCGGGCCCTTAGGTCGCCGCTGTCTCCAAGGTAAGTAAGTGTCCCATCTACATCGTCGGTCTCCGGTCTCCTCTTCCTGTAATCCAGTCATGAAATGCTGTTGCAACCATTGTTCCCTGCGACTAACTGAGCTCATCTTTTCTCAGTACTGAGTTGTTGTTCTCGTTCTGGTTCCCCGGCGAGCTGAATCCCTCCTTTTTATCTCCCCCGGCGTTTTCCTAAATAACAGTGGTTGGGGAATCGATGCGGATCTGGATTCAGGGGCGGTGATAGTGCAGTCTGTGGACTGAAGATTGGAGCCCTTTAATTTGTCTTCTGTAGAAGAGTAATGTTTACTGCCACCAGAGATTTCAATATGAACTACATACGGATGTATATGGACATATTTTAGAATGTAGATTCACCCATTTTGCTCCGTATGTGGTCCATATTGAAATCTCTAGAAAGACTTACATTTAGGAACGGAGGGAGTAGAATCCTTGCTCAGTTTTGTGTGAGCTAATGGTAAACAGAGTCTACAGCAATCTCTGAATTATTGTGACCGTGCAGTAGCCATAGGCTTTTGTCCATGCCCAACTAGAGATTATTTGGATGATTGCTTCAACACTGGTCTGAAACTATGCCAAGACACTTGTTTTGGCATTAGATGAGTGCGTGGGGATAAAATTATACAGGTAGCATGCTGAATTTCTTTTTGACAATCTACTTTGATTTCTGAATACTATAAGGAAGTCAATTTTCTATCACATCTTTGTTTCTCATATAAAAAGAATGCTTATAGAATAGCAAGGTATTGTAAATTGAAGTATTACTTAACTAATGTTCATGTGGAATTGGAAAATAATTCTTGTATTTATACTATATTATGCATAAACCAAGTGCATTAATTCGTTTAGAAGGAGCAAAGAATCACAAAAATTGCTTTTGATGCTGTGAGCAAGAACATCATATTAAGTGATTAACCTAAGTAATACCTAAACAAAATAGCTGTATCTCCCTGGAACAACGATCTACTGAACCACTCCAACCAGCCTCCAGAGTTTGCACTCTTTGATTATGTATCCAGTAGAGCCGCAAATTAGGGTGAGTGGAACGAGAACTGTGATCCCCTGAATCTGCTAGTCAATGCATTAAGTCCAATGGAAGATGTAACAATGATTTACCAAGCTTCTGCCACCAATATGCTGCACTGGAAGAACCAGCACTGGATCTTATAATCTGATCATATTGAATGCCGTCCAGTGTTTCTCCATTTCCACACAAACTTCGCTGGTGTCAGTGAATCAAGTGTGCTGGCACTCAACTGGTCTCAAAGATGCGGCTCTTCGTGAATTGGCCTGGACACTCAGAGATCCCAAAACATCAGCATTCCATTCATTATTTAGAGCCTCCTGAACAATTTGCGTATTCTTGATTCTTGTTGTCACAAGGGAGAAGAGAGCTGATGCAGGCTGCTCAGTTAAGCACTTGTTCAGCCATCTATCCTCCAGAAAAGGAACTTCTGCACTTCCGAGCTGCAAAGAAATGAAGCATTGAATAAAGCATGAATATCTTGTTTGACATTGACCTTCTAGAACAGCAATCCATGTGGTAAAGTATTTTTTTTATTTCCATCCATCTTGTTGATTGATTGGATAAGATTGATTTACATGTTTCTTCGATTCATGTTGATGAAAAAGAAGGTTTTAATATGTTTGTCATGCTTACAGGTTTTCTATTGTGATGATGTCCTTCTTCTTTTTATTGCATTGCCAACAATAGGTTCCCTCACGATAACCTGATGTATCGTGTTGGTGCTGCTTATGTTGATCTCAGAGCAGAGCTGACTAAATGTTTTGCTGCATCTTATGACATTGAGTTTCTTCAGGGAAATAGGTAAGCCTGTCTGGGGAAGCAACTCAAGTTTCGGACATTTCTCTATGCACAGAGACTCAAGGGATGTGAGATCAATCATGTTGGATGGCAGTGATGTCAATTTTAGACAGCCAGTGAAGCGAATTTCCTTCACTGAGGTGAGTTGTTGCAGCCATTCCTCCTGATCACTGTTAAAAGCTTCCAAGCAGTCGGATGAGATATCCAGCATATGAACGGTGGCTAGGCTGCTTGTTTGCAGAGAGGTAAAGAGAAGTTCCAAGCGGTCCAGGGAGAGCTGAACACCGAGGGGCATGCTGGCATCAGCTGTATCTTCAGGTTCATGACTGATTACCTTCTCAGAGGCTGAGTCACATACTGAAATTTTGATTTTATTGAATGATGGTGGGAACGGCAAAGGCCCCATCAACTTGTTACATTTCTGAATACGGATGTCACGCAGGCGAGGAAACACATTTTGGTTGTTCTCAACGCCTGACCATCCTTTCCACTGAGTCATGCCTTCAAATAGAAGCTCTTCTAGTGATGGAAATGCCTCTGCCGCATTGCCGTAGAATCCAGAATCAATCTTTTCCAGTTTTGTCAAACGCATTATCCTTAATTTCTGCAGGAAGGGTAAACTCCCAAATGGTGGAAGGGTCTTCCAGTGATGGCAGCAGAGCAATTCAATGGAGTGAATGTTGGATGCGTATTCAAAGGATAGCCAAGAAGGAGACTTGATTCCCATGTAACCTCTGACACAAAGTGCTCTCAAGTTGGCATTTGGTTGTAACCCTTCAAACACGCCTTCATGGTCACTGTTGGTGCTCTGTTTGAGATGATTCCACGAGAGTGCTAGCTTGTTCAGGTTCTTCTTATCAAATAATCTTGCCTCATTTGCTTCTTTGCTGCATCTTACATTCTGAAGATTTGTTATGGTTAGCGTCCCTCGAAGTTCATTCAACTCCCTCAGTTGGCATATGTTGCGCTTCATGTTACTCTTCACTTTGTACTCTTCTAGTTCCTGGAGGGATCTTAGCTTGCCAATCCATTCTATGCCTGAAATTATTTTCTTCGGAGCCTTCAGGTATCTTAACTGGGTCAGCCTACTTAAGCCCTCTTGGAGTTCCTTTTCCACGATCCTGTCTTGATGAGTTTGGAGACTCAATCCATGTAAATGGTAGAGTTTGAATAATGACTCGGGGACATTGATAAATCTCATACTTCCATGAATGTTTAGATACCTAAGGTGTTTCAAATGATCAATTTTGTCTGGGAGAATACCATCAGGATTGTGCAGTACTAAGACCCTTAAGCTTCTTAGCTCTTGGAGTGTCTGACCAAGACCATAATTGAAGGTTGATGAGGGTATTCTTTTCTGGGAAGCACCTTCTTCTGCCTTGCAAATTATTAAGCTTCTCAGATTTTTCTTCAATTCTGTGAATTCTTGCAAAATCCAGTACACCTCAGATATACTGCTTGCACTGACATATAGGTGGCGAACATTTCTTGGAACGCATACCTGGAGTTTATCTTCTATTCTGAAGTGTTCTCCATTGGAGACCGACTCTGCAAAATCATGCAGCAAGTCGTGAACTACATAATGGTCATCTTGGCTGGGTACCTTCTCAATGAATGAAAGCTGCAACAGGTCATTGATATAACGATATGCAATTTCATCTGGTGCATCTGTGTTAAGGAAACCATGAGCTCTCCACATCTGTACTAGCTCATCTCCTTGAAGGTGGTATTTCTTAGGAAACAATGCAAAGTAAACAAAACATTGCTTCAAATGGTCAGGAAGATGCTCATAACTCAGTCGCAATACTGGTATAATATCATCTTCCTTTTGCTCTATTTGACACAATTTTCTTCCACAGATAGAACTCCAATGTTTTTCTTTTAGCACCGGTTTCAGTGAACTCCCAACTGTCATTGCAGCTAAAGGTGATCCGGCCAACTTGCTCACCACTTCTTGGCCAATTTTTTTCAGTTTTGGAAAATCAGAAGGATTTGCATCACCGAATGCACATTGTGAAAAGAAATCCCAGTAGTCTTCATCTTCTAAGCCATGTAACTCCATGATCTCTGTTGATTCATTCATACTTGCAACATTTTTGCTTCGAGTTGTAACTATTACTTTGCTGCCCTTGCTAGCAAACTTCAGGGGTTTGAACAGGTTCTCCAATTGGCTCCTCAATACATTCCATACATCGTCAAGGACTATCAAAGCCTTTTTCCCATTCAGCTTATCCCGAAGTATCCTCTGAGCTTGATCTAAACTACTGCTGAGATTATCTGACTCTGCCATCTCTTTTGTTAGACGTACAACATCAAATTTATCTGAGACATGGAGCCATACTGTGAGATCAAAGTGATGTGTGTCATGAAAGTGGTTATACACTCTCTGTACTAGCGCTGTCTTACCAACACCACCAATACCAACAATTGATATAACATCATATGGCTGACTGGATTGCTCATTGATCTGAACAAGTAATTTCTTCAGATGGTTTTCTTCATTAACTCGACCGAAAAACTTCCCTGAGCTTGGCATAGAGCTTGTTGTGCGCCACTGAACTGCCTGTTCTGGTTTGCTGTCCTCTATCTTGACAAAATCCAGAAATCTTTGCATCTCACTATCAATCTCAACAAACTTATCGACTACAGAAATCAACTCATCTATATCTTCATCAGAGAATAGAAAGCGTTTGAGAAGACGAACCGACTGATTTACTGTTGAGCCGCTGCTACTGCTAGTGGTGGTAGAGGCAGTGGTTATGGTGCTTGCGGATGAAGAAGACGAGCCAGCTGCAGCTGAAGCAACTGAGCTAATCATGCCCCTGTCTTCAGCTTGTGCTTGGAGAACTCGATAGTCAAACAAATCGAGAACATCCTCAGCTTGACAGGCAGCATCTTTGATTCTCCTTAGCCAACTTCCCATGGCTGTGTTCTTTGCCTGCACTCTCTCGGCTATGTGTATCGCTGTTTGGATCGATGATAGATTCTTCTCTAGGATTCTCAGTTTCTCCTTTGTATCTTTCCGTTGGTATTCATACTGGTCCCCAGCATAGGAGCACACCTTCTCAACTAGCTTGGTGATGAAGGCTGAGGCCACCCATCCTCCTATTGCTGAAGCAGCCATTGCAGCTCAGATGCTGCAACTCGAAGGAGTTGTCAAATGCTGGTTTCAAGTGGCCGCATAAAGGAAAATGAATGTTGATTTGAAGAGAGTTGGTATCTAGATGCAGTCAAGAGAGAATCATGAGTATAAAACTAATTATGTCCTTAGAAACTTCCCCGAGTTGCATCGTCTTGTTTTGTTACGCCTATATCCTAGTGAAGGTTAGTAAATGTCTCTTTCAACTTTGTTCTTGCTATTTTCCTTTGTCAGTGTGTGTACCATGATTTACCTGAAGGTGTTTCTAAGTAAAAGACTTATATTGTCAGTGTATGTCCTTTTACTTGTTGGACAACACTAAGACTGAAACTGGAACCTTTGGCACTTAAGTTCAGAAAGAATCGTGAACCTCATTTCAGCACCTTGTTGCAGGTAACAGTATATAGCCTCTGTTTGCTAATAGTTCTACCCGGTTCAGTCCCTACTTAATTAGTAAAATTTGATCCCTTTGGGTGTCCGTGCTAATATCATGACTTATAGCCCTCTGGATTGTAAATTTTTAAGCAATGCATTAGTATCTCTGTTTTCAATTCCAAAGTGATCATTGTTCTTGTTCCCAACTTCCCATGTGACTCAGCCATGTGTTAACTTATGCAGCATCTGACCTGTGCACATGTGTTAAATTATTAATTCCTGGAGGACTTAAACTTGTATACCACTTCATTTTTTTATGTACTAGATCTGAGAACCTACAAAATTTGGACAGCATGCTCCAATTGGGCTTGAGACCTCGAGTTGTGGTCGAGATACGGATATTTCAGAAAATTGCGCGGAACTTGCCGAAGGCTAGAAAAAACAATGATCAGGACCAAGAACGTCCAAGGCTAGATTCGTTTACTATCATATACTTTACTGCTTAGATTGTTATTAGCAGAAGCACAAGCCAAATGGTGTCTTGTTTCTTGTTGTTTATTGTTGTTCCAGCTGTCGTTCACCTACTTGTCCATGCCTACAGAGCTTCGAGCCTGTGCTCCATCAGAATCGCCCCGTCCCGGTCAGCTTACATTGCAAAAGGCTATAATACTTCCATGTTTTCTTGTTGTCAACATGCTTTGGTATCACCAGTTTTTTTGAAGGATTTTTGAAAATGACAAAATAAACACATTGTAGGTTCTGTGAGCCTTAATCTAGAGAGGAACAGAAATATGTTGCCAGTCGATGAATTTCAGGTTCCATGTTGGCAGTTATGTGGTATGTGCAGTTTCGGCCTTTCCCCTGGAGTCAACCACTCAACCCTGGGAAGACAATGTTCATAAACTACATGGGAAATATTTATTTTTCTCTTCTTGTTGTCCTGATTTAACTGAATAATCTGGATTCTATGGACTGTTGACCATTGTAGTTATTGATACTCATGTTTGTTTGCCCTCACAGTATCAAGGCTCCGGGCTCGGATTTCCTAGCGCTCACCATAAGCGAGGGCAAAGGAATCCTAGCATGAATGTCAGGGCAGTTGGTCTGGTCCAATAAGCAAGAATTATTTTCCTTTCTTCTGTTTTTCTTTTTTCTTCTTTTTTTGCTTTCTTCTTTTCCTCTCCTTCTCTTTTTATATATTTACTCTACTTTTTCTTAGTATTTTTTTTTCATTTTCAGATTTCTTTAATTTTAAATTTGTGCATTGCATTATATTTAGAACATAGTTATTTTTTATTTCCATATTTACTTTTATTGTAAATACATGAACATTTTTTAAGTATGTTAACATTTTTTTAGTCACTAACATTTATTTTTGTACATATGGAATTGTTGTTCAGTGATACATAAATATCATTTCTGAGATTTGTGAGCCTTTTTTCTAGTCATGAACAATTCTTTTGGAATGCATGCACATTTTCTAATAGAATAAAAATGGCTTTACGTATAACACAAAATATTTGTATGTGATTTTATGGAATATTTTTCAGTGGTAACTTGAAGATTTTATTTGGTATTCATGCACAAGTCTCACAACCGTATGAACAAAATTTAAAATCAGGTGGAATGTTGTTTTGAGTCAGCCTTAATTTGTTTATCGTAATGGGCAATCATTTTGGGCTTATTATCATATCCGTGTACTTGCTGATCTGAGGCCTCCTCTGACGCGGCTATGTCACGCTCCTTGCGGGACACTAGCTGGAGTCGCCTCAGAGAAACGCTATTGGACCGTCCCAGTAACCATGGGTGATGTCATGACTACGTCACGTGGGCTTCGTTTTACAGTTTTTTTCCTCCAGTTTTTCTTCACATTTTGTTTCGTTTTTTCTTCATTTTTTTTTCCAATTTTGTTATATTTAGAAACTATTATATATATAATACATATAAAATTGTTAATTATGTGTAAAAACCATATTTAAGCCATTTAAAGTCAATCACGAGTCAGAAAAAATGTATGTTTCTTAAAAAAAATACAAAGTAAAAAACGTGTGTACAATAAAAAATGTTTCATACATTAATAAAATGTTCATTGCATTTTCAAATATGTGTTCATCACATTTTGAATAAATGTTTGTACAAATGAAATAAAATGTTATCAGAAGATAAAAAACAATGTGGTTGTCTCATTAAAAAAATATTTCAACGGGTATTAACAAAATATTTAACACTCATTCAGGAAAATATTCAATTATCAAATGTCAAATCCTGTATTTATTAACGTTAAAAAATATAAATATATATATTTTTATGTATACAAAAAATATAAAATATGTTTAGAAAAAGTAGACATGAACAATATATATATTCCAAAATATCAATCATGTATTCCATACAACATATTTAATGAGTATAACAAAATTGTTCCTCCTATATACGAAAAATGTACAATGTTTATAAAAATGTATACCGATAAAAATGTACAATGCCTATCTATGAAAGAGAACCGATAAAAAAGAAAGAATAAAAAAACAGAAGAAACTGATAAAAATTACAAAGAAACAAAAGGAAGCAAAAGCAAGACCGAAGAAAACCAAAAGGAAACGAAGAAAAGAAAAGTATAAGGGCAAAAAGGAAAGAAAACCAGTGAAGAAACAAAGAAAACGAAAGTATATAGAAGAAAAAAACGATGAAAAAGGTAAAAAAAACAAAAGAAAAAGGAAAAAGGTGGGAAAGGGGGAAAAACGGAAGCAGAGCGAGCTGACTACAGCGACGCTGCAACGTAAGCGAGCGACTGCTCTTAATGGGCCAGCCTGATTAGCTCGCCGTAGGCGATTCCTATGTATGGAATCAGTACGGGCGAGATATAGCCCCTGCGGCCTCTTCCAGCAAAAAAGGAGGTTTTCTTATATGAGGTCTCACAATTCATTTTTGGAAGGAAGAGGCCTACTTGTTCGAAAGTGTTGTTCTAATCACGAGCTCATGTAAGCTCGGGTGAATAGTAAAATCAAAAAAATTCAAAAAATCACATATTTTGTTGTCTGAAACATTTACAAATGTTTTAATTATTTGCAAAATTTCAACACCATATGACATTCGTGGAAAATCTGGCAAAAAAAATTGATTCTCCAAAATGCGTTTTAAAATAACAATTTGGAGCATTGATTTGTTTGCCAGATTTTCCACGAATTTCATTTGGTGTTAAAAATTTTCAAGCTATTAAAACAGTCAATGTTTCACACATAAAAAAATCAGAAGTTTTGGAATTTTTTTTATTTTCTATTGATCAAAACAGCCGTGTCCCCTACTTGTTGTCTTATTTCGCACACATATATATACATCTGTTTCTCAAAAGAATCCATATCTCTAGTTGATATGAGGCCTCTTCCTGCAATTTTTTTTTTGACACGAGGCCTCACAATTCCCTTTTCAAAGGAAATGGGAGATAGGCTTATGGGACTTACCTTATACAACAAATATTTTTTTGAGGGAAGGCCATCATCGATAGCTTTATTAATCATATATACCAATTATATCGTTCGCCATTCCTCCTAATAACAAGTTTGGAGGATCATCGTCCCAGTAACTAGAAAACTTATTCAAAAAACTAGACTTAGCTAGCTCATGAGGCCGTATGCATCGTTCTGATACAGAGGCCGGGGCAAACCCCCTTTTCAAAAAAAAAAACTAGCTCATGAGCTACACCATTAGCTACCCTATAACAATGCTTAAATTTGACATTTCCGACTAAATTTGCAATATATAGACACTATGCATAAACTGCCGCCACAGCATCCCACCATTGTGAATGGCCATTAGAGAAAGAAAGCTCCGAATGGCCGTGCCCGAGACGAAAACATAGTAATTATTGTGTGTAGGGCTGTGTTTGCAGGGTCACTGTTGTTTTCGTACTGATTGTTTCCTATGATTTTCCGTCTCATGATCACTTGTTACAAACAATGTGGACTGTGTTTGACGTTTCAGTATGTTTTGACTGGTTGCTTGGCGAACCGCCAGTTACAAGTAATTTGTGCTATTGTTTGTTATTTCAGTCTGTCCTGACTGTTGTTTTAGTGATACCGGTGTTAATTTCACATTGATCGCAGTTCTCCAATTCAATTTCTTATGTTATGTTCGTCAACTTGTTACAACTTCTTTTTTTCTCTCAATCATTTTGTTTTGATCTTTCTGTGTCGCCGTGGTGGTCACGGATCTGTTGACTATAGCAGTCGATTCTAGCGTGTAAGCAAAATCTTGGAAGCACTACTCTAGAGCTGGCTAATTTTCTTCTTCTTCTTCTTCTGGAAACGGTAAATTCCTAGTAGCTTTGTAGATAAGTGCTTCCACGATTTGCTACTATTTCTTATACCTTGGGTGTGCTGCTGATTTCCGGGCTACTATTTGTTCTTATATGTCTTTTCCTTTCGTTGTGAGCACGTGGGTCCAAGCTTTGGTTGTCTTTCTAGCAGCTCTTTGCCAACCGAACCTCACGTCTTGTTGTTTTCTCAATAGATGTCAGCTGTTACCTCAAAACAAAAAGGAGACGTCAGCTCCAAAGTTATATGCTGATGACCACAAAAGACCACTAAACAACTCAAACTGAAGTACTCCTA